TGAAGTTTCCACAGACTGCTTCTAAACAGGTTTATTTAAGGTTAAGTTATAACAGTGAGACACAGTTTATTAATTAACCAACAGGATGTGTGTAAGTGACTGGAAGTTAATGTGAATGAAAGGTATGTGGGAAAATATCCAGTTAATAGTATCAAATTGTAACCGTGATGACGTCATCTTTATTTTTACGTGTATCCGACTTAAAACCTTAAAAACAAAGATAAGATTTTAAACCAAAATTGTTATATTTTATTATTTTTTAAAACATTTTCATATTTTCAAGTTTGCAATTCATGATAAGATTTTTTGCAAAAAACAAACAAAAAATGCAAAAAAAAAAAAAATTAAAACAAAAACAAAAAAATATAAACAAATTAAAAAATGTATTTAAAAAAATACAAAAATAAATAATAAAAATAAAAAAACGGGGGTGCAAATTTAATATAGTTCCAATACAAAATATGGGACTGATGTGTTGCACAGAGAGTTTATAGCTATTGCTAATTTTCAACTTTTGTCTCTAGTTGGGCTTTTACATGTAGACCTAGAATGTTATTAAAAATATACAGTTTAAAACATCAGAAAACCACAATACACTATAAACATGGAAGGCACAATAAAGTACACAAACCACAATCCACACACTACAATAGCCTACACATACCACAGTACATATACTACACATACCACAATACACCAAAACGCTTACACTAATAGCCCTTAAAGGTTTGAGCGCATTCAGCTAAGAGTGGCCACAGCTCTGGTTTGCTTTTTATTGTGAATGATTTTACACATTTATGTCCATTGAATACATTTACATACAGTATATGCGAGAATATACTTACATACAGACACACATATATACACACACACATATATACATACATGCATTCAATACTAAGATCAAGAGTCAAAGATCTGTCAACAGACTACAAGTAAATTTCTAAAATGATTTAATAACTTAAGCTTTTCATATGTCATTTATTCAGTCAGCCATTTAATTATGGGACATTTTCACACAAGTTAATGTCTGCACTGGGTCACCGCAGATTTTTAACAACAGTCAGAGTGATTTAGATGCATTTTGGACTGCCTGCTTGTACCATGGGCACACCAGTGCAATGTTGACTGGTCTCTCAATACCAATACTTTCCAACTCCCACTGTGTCTGTGGCATCTGGGTACTGTTATAGCAAACACCACTCAGACAAGAGTATTGGGGATTTGCTTTTAATTTGTAGATGTTTTTTAGCTATTGAATAATACACTTTTTGTGTACTAGTCAGTCTTTACAGCAGCAGGACAACATATTTGGTACTGACTCAAATAACCGACAACACCCATGATCGTGGAAATGAAGGAACAGTTCACCCAGTGCAGGGCTGATCAGTTATGTGTTTTCAATAGTTGTTGGAAACAGTTGTGGTCAGGGTATCAAAAATTATTGTTAATATAGGATCAACTGGTTGTTGGTTTTGGTCTTTTTATTATATTAATGTTGAAACATCCCACATGTGCCAGGTGTGTTGGAGAACTATGGTGGCTGATGCAAAAAGGCGCAAAGTGTTTGATATGTCCAATCTGGGCTACTGTAGAACAACATGGACACCATGGAAGAGAACTCACTCTGTATGTTGATATAAGCAGCTCATTTGAACCTAAAGAAAACACAATATTTCTCATTTTGAAGTGATGATAAACTAATGAAAACATAATCATGGATGTTATATTCCATTTATGCCAATAGAAGCTCCTAAATTCTACACACTGGACCTTTAAAACTATATAAACACAAAACTAAATTACCTGTTTTGGCTATGACTCTATTTTCCCTGTATTTTGTACTGTTGTACAGTTATTTACAGGAAACTTCTGAATTATCAACCAAATTCTGAAATAGAATGTTACTGTTTTATTCATCAACATGAATGTCAAAATAGGATACTGTTTAAAACTCTTTAAATGTGTTAAAACATCCTGGAATTACCCTAAAATATGTTTGAGTTTTTAGCTGTTGAACATTAACAACCAAAAGATTGCTAAAATACTCACATTCCCAAAAAATATATTTCACAATTTTAAAAATACCCGACAAATTTCAATGAAATTCTTCAGAAGGCTTTGACTTAGACTTGACTAATATCATAACAGAATGCAGTCAGTGAGGTTAACCCTTCTATGTTACATCACTTAGCTGTCAACAGCATATTTTTCATTTTTCAGTCAATCAGTTGTATAATTAACTCTCATATTTAACCCCCGCTCTTACACAACAAACATGTAAGGAATCATCTTTAAAAATTACTGGAGTAAACATGAATGTGGACCGACAACAGGAGTGGAGTACAGATGCTATTTAAGAGTCCACATTATTCAGCTTCCTCTCTGGGGTTAAAGAAACAGAAGCATTACCAAACACCAGGTATTCAGACAATGGTGGAGGGTAGTGAGTCATTGTTTGTGAGCTCTTGTCACAAATGCTCAACATATTTGTGTGATGATGTAGCCAACAAGACGACAATGGGGACAATTTATTCATTAAATGAGCACATGGTATCATTCACTGTGAGGAACTGTCTGGAAATTACAATACAGTGTTTAATTTATTTGAAAGCTGTGAATCCTGACGTCAGGTAAGATAGTGCCGACTGAAGTATGACATTATTCAATTATAATGTAGATTTAAAAGGAAGGCATCGAGTTATCTGTCATATTAAGGATGTTTATGTTATAGTATGTTAGTATTAAAAGGAAGTGCAACACTCTCACTTCCAAGAAAAACAAGATACACATGACAGAATAAGTTCTATGAGTGTTTTACAATCCGTAGAGACTTCCAAAAGCTGGGAAATGTTTGGGTGATCAAGTGTGGGAGAGACAGGATATGACTCCCCTCTCTGTAACCCTCACACACACATCCTGCAGCTGTGTGTGCTTTACAGGAAGGTAAGAGGGAAAATGCATATAGCCTACCCTGATGCATGAGATCTATACATTTTTAAAATCACAAAGTAAAAACATAAATTGTATTGTATCATATAAAATAATCGATGCCTTGCAAATATGGTCAGTCAAATCAAGTGTTTAGCTTAAATGGTGTCATGCTGGCAACACATGGACTTACAACATCTGATATTGAAATTATTAAACATTAATTAGGGATTAGACGTATAATTTGTGTTATTTGTTTATTTTATATTTACTCTAATTTGTGATTAGAGTACAGTAATTTCCTGGAGATGCTCTCCAGAGCGTCACAGGAAGTCATTCTTGCCCGTGGCCATCAAACTTTACAACTCCTCCCTGGGACTGTCAGACACTCTGAGTCAACAGACTGGCACCTACACTTAATTCATCCATCAGCAGTTATGATCCCATAATGTATCTATTATATTTCAGCCATGCAACTGGGACTTAAAGGTACAATACTTCATTGTAACACTGGCTTAACTGTGCAATAACTGGTGCAATATTTATCAGTATCTTGATTTATTCCTAACAAAACCAATCTTGAATAAAAAAGCCAAGTCCCAGTTAAACGGCCAGTCCCCTTTACTTGCCCGGTGTGGCTACACATTTGGACAAATAAAGGCCTATCTCAATAAGACGCCCGGTCTGTTTGCCAAGCAGTTTATTGTACAGAAGTTCTTTGAATATATAAAATTGGGTTGTTGGCTACCCACTTGAGCTAACATATAAATATAAATGTTTGAACTTTTGTCAATATGGTCATGCTACACACAACGTAAGCTTGGTTAGATTCTCCACAACTCAATTATAAAGTTAGTTTTACTGAAACCATGACCATCAGAGAAGACCTAATTCATTCAGATTAATGGATATGATGAAAAACAAGCCTCCCTTCCTCTGAAGCTGTCACAAAGTCAGAATATGTGTCCATTCCTCAATTACCCAGCAAGTTATTCATATTCCTTTAGTCTGTAAGGGTCCACTGATCAAAAGAATTAAAAGGGTTTTTCATAAAAAGTAATCCAAATTATGAATATTGTTTTAACAGGATAAAGTGGTGTTGTGTTGGTATGCCAGGCGCTGTAATCCTCTCTGATGTCAGAGCAAGATCAAATGAATAATACATAATCAATTTGAAGCCTAATTTTTATACAAGTAATATTCACACTGGTTCACAAAAGCTATTTGATTGTATGCTCCAACTGTGCTGAGCAACAGTTTTGAGTAAAAGGAATTAAAGGCCTGATCTATATAGACGCCTGTCCCATATATAAGCCTGTTTAGTGCAGTGATTTAAACAAATAATAGCCTGGGATATTAATTGAAGTCTTACAGGTATACGTAATCAGAACTAGATTATGTGTATGACACATACAAATGTAACATATCCATGGTTTGCAGAAACAGACAATGCCATCATTTTCTGGTGATTAGGCGTTCTGTTGAGATCAGCCTCTGGGATGGTATTTCGTACTCTTATAAATATTTATGTATATTTTGTGTTGTACATTGTGGTATAATGCACTTTGTTAAATATAATTTTAAACCTTACATACTCAGCATATTACACAAATTATATAGGTTTTAAATATTTAACATACGAGTGTGAAAACTGAAGCAAAATGCACATATTTTTACTTTTATTTTTCATATACTTCTATAATTGTCTTTGCTTGACATTAGAGCGACTGTAACGAATCACAGTTTGTCCGCGGGGATCAATAAAGTATTCTTCTGATACTGATTAGTTTTCTTTTCCTTGTCACCTACTTGAGGAAAGTGAGGAAACCTTTATAAACTGCAGTCCTGTGCTCAGCCTGTCAGACATGACAACCCCGTCCATTATGATTGACAAGCTAGTAGACGAATCCAGCTCCGACCTGAGCCTGAGGCCAAGCATTTAATTGGTTGAACATTAGGGGGCGGGGCATACGGCAGGAAGGAAATGGTGTAGGCTTTGCCTGAGAGACTGTACTGTGGGCAAAGAAACTGTAAAACCACAGCGTCACTTGACTTGGCCAGTTACTTATCTGCCATTTTGTATCTCCACAGTCTGGTCAGAGGAAGTTGGTCGTCAACGAAGAAGGAAGCAAATATGCGACTGTTCACTTCATCTGCACATTTAATCAAAACATTTTAGTGTTTGATTGTTTAGATAAATTGACGTTAGTATCGGTTGGTTGACTGCTCCTCTTGTAATCTGTCCATCATCGTGTCGGCCTTCATCTTGTTTACGTTTTGCTTTAGAGGTAGCAGGAGAGCTAACGCTAACGACGTTAGCCGGCTAGCTTAGCTAGCAAACAGCTGTATAAGCGTTAGCTTTCTAACGCTAACCACAGTCAGTGGCGAAATGGCGGCCAACACGACACAAGTAACCCCTACAACAAACTGGTAGGTCGCTCGTTCCAGCCACAGAAGGCCATCAACACACGGGGAAACAAATAAATGTTAAATAACTTGAGACCATAACGTTTATATTTTGTGTGGTATGGTAAAGGTGGCTAGCAACAATCTTGAGTCAAGGATAATTAGCTCAGCTGAGGGTGTTGACAAGTGTTAGCATACCCAGCTACAGATAGGCCATTGGTTTGGATAACAGAAAGCTAACATGTTAGCTGTTTACGTTAATACACCTTACCATTGTATTAATGTCATATTTAGTTACTGTCGATAGAGTTTGGTGCTGCTAACTTTGATAATATCAATGTAGCACACGCTTTCTTTTGATAAATATAGTCAGGCTTCGCAACCACATGCTAACAGTAATAATGGATAGCCGCTTGGCTTTACGTTATCCAAGAAGATTAACTAACGTTAGCCAACGGTTATATTTAAGACAAGTCAACGGTTGAGTAGGTCACAGTTAACGGTTGGAATCTTTTTAATCTGCCAGACACGAGAGCAAACGTTGACTTGGGCAGCAAAATCCTAATTTAGAATAAACTGGTAACATGATACACATAAGTATTTGTGTCATTTGAATGCCATTATAACCAGAAGAGTTTTGCATGTGCTGATGATCAAATCAGAGCATTGAAATTCCTAAAAAACACTCATCATCCTCTGTTTGTGGCAGGTCGTATGGTGGTTCTGGAGACAGCCAGGTTCACGAAAACCCAGAATGGGAGAAAGCAAGACAAGCACTGGCGTCCATTAGCAAAAGTCAGAGCTCTGCTAAGACTACTCAAGCCAACAGGACAGCAACGGCAGAGGTGTGTGTTTGATCTCTATGTGCGTCCTTGTTTTATTACACCTGGCATTGAAATTTATGTTAGGCTATCTGATTACAACCTGAGATCTATTTGTGGGCTGCATATATAGTGAAGGTATGTGTGTATCCTGAGTACGTTTGACTCTATTTGTCATCTGCATAACAATAATACCAGTGTAGGTTGCGATTTTGTTTGTTTTTTAATGGTTTCCTAGACATTTCTTTTATGTTATGCAGCATTATTCATTTTTGTCCCTGCTAGATGATTTCATCTCTCCTCTGGACTAAAATAACAAGTCTGTATATGCGTGTGTGTTATTTCAGGCTGGTCAGTTTCAGCCAGCAGTGACTGACTCTGCTGCCATGCAGCAACAGCAGCAACAACAACAACAGCAGCAGCAGCAGCAACAACAGCAACAACAACAGCAGCAGCAGCAGCAGTACTATCCATGGTACCAGCAAACTCAGCAGCATTATCCTGGATACACGTACCCTTATAATTACTACTACCCCATGGGTCCAGTAAGTACAGAAAATAATTTTGTTCTTGTCAGTCTCTTACTATCATAACACTTAACATTAATGTATCTACTGCATTCAACTCAGTAAGCATCTAATGCTGAGAAATAAGGAGATGGCTCTGTGATGTCAACATGGGTTTCTCTGAATTTTCAGTATGGAGCTGCTTATCCACCAAATCAGTATGGTGTACCCCCAGGGCCTTACCCCGGAACTCCCACCTCTAATGGACAGGTACATGACAAGAATATGTAGTTATCCACCATTTAATTACATCACATGTGTAATCATGTACTTAACTGATGAAGTTTTGTTCCTTACCCTGTAGATTTTACAAAGCTAGAAGTAAGAGCACCTGACAAAGTAATGCCCCAGTCACTGGACATGAGCAGTGACCCTATCAAACCTGTTTAGATAAACTCATTTTGTAATCGTGTGTCAGTAGTAGTATGTGAAATTAATATACGGGGCATGGCAACTTCATTCCCCAGGCATTTCTGTAGCTTCTAGCGAAAAGTTGCTTTAACAGCGATTTTCCTTTCTCTGTCTTCATAGCCTCCCCCGGTGCCTGGAATGGAAGACCAGTCCCCTGGCTACCCCTCCCAAACTCAGCCTCCTCCCCCTGCTACTCCCCAGCCACCCCAGAGCCCAACCACCACAGAGAAACCCCCTCCCCCTCCACCCCCACCTATTCCTCCTCCTCCGAACTCCCAGTACCCCCCTCCTCCATCACAAAATGCTTACAGTGCCAATAACTCCATGCCATACCCACCTGGTGACCCCAACCAAATGCAAGTTTACAATCATTCCCAGGGAAGGTCTAACTATGGACAGGGCTTCCAGGCACAGAACACCTATCAGGCCTCTCAGAATCCCTCCCAGCAGCAACAGCAGCCAGGCCAGTATGTACCAGGGCTTGGCAGAGGAGAGGCCAACAAAAACAAAAACCAAAAACAAGGACAGCAACTGTGGCACCGCATGAAACGTAAGAGTTGCTCTTTTGTGGGGTAGCTGACATCTAACGTCTTCAACTGAATTACTTCACTTTTCTCTGATGCAGCTTGTTATTGCTACTATTTACATGTTTGCATTTGAGTGAAGTAATCACAGACTTGTTTTAACTGTAACTAAAGACTATATAAGACCATTATTGTCACTGCAGGATTTAGACAGTATGGACAGAGGGGGGAATGTGGGTTATGCTGGGATTTAAACCAGATGTCAGTTTTAGTCAAACAAAATGTTCCTCTTGTTGAAGGAAACTGTTATTTACACAATCAATATCTAACAAATGTGTTAATTTTAGTCAAAGAAAACATTACTTATAATTAGAAAGTAAGCACATTTACATGCAAGAACAAAGTGAGGGAGAAGGTCTTCTTGCCCTGAACATGCCAAGGATTATTACTGCAAGAGAGAAGCTGAGAGCATCTCTGTACCAGGAGCACTCCTACACAGAAATTTAAGAAGAACAGGCAGCCAGGTGTTTGACTTAGCAACACTTGTATATACCAATCATAGAGCTCCATGTCTAATGATTGACCAAGCAGGAACATCCCGGAAGGAGGAGCTTGGTGTGAGGGGGGGCTTTGAGGTTTAAAGGATAAATGTTGTGGTTCTATGCTCTGAATTCAGATATTCAAATTCTTTATACAAAAAAATAAAAGTTCTTTCGAATCTCAGTGTTTGGTTCCTATGAACCTAATCGTGGTTATTTAGTTAGTTAAAGAAGGCTGGACTGAAAGAAGAAATACCACCATGACTATCTCATAGTTTTGTGTCTAATGTACTTTTATATTTTTTCCCCTCACAGAGGCACCTGGGACAGCTTCAGTGAAGTTCAATATTCACAAGAGGCCCTATCAGGTTCAGTGTTCTCCATTGTCCAATCAGACTTTCCCTCCAGGCGAGCAGCCCTCAGGATTGAATCCAACTCCTTCCTCCCCGGGTTCTGCCAGCGCTGCACCTGGAGGGGCTCAGACACGGTGATAACTGATCTGTTTCTACAGATGTAGATAACAGAGAGTCTGTGGATAATATTTTGACTCCAATGCTTTCTCTCCAGACCCCAGGACTGGCCCCAGGCTATGAAGGAGTACGTGCAGCGCTGTTTCACAGCCTGTGAGACAGAGGAAGACAAAGATCGTACAGAGAAGGTGCTGAAAGAAGTTCTGCAGGACCGGCTGAAGGATGGCTCTGCTTACACCATTGATTGGACTCGTGAGCCATTGCCAGAGTGAGTTCAGGAGTGGATTAATGTTTGCCTGGTGTATATATTGATTGTTATCTAAGCTACTAAACATGAGCTTTGTAGATTAAACAAAGATCAGTCAACTGTATTATGATGTGGTTTCAGTTGAGTACAGAGTTAATTTCTGGGTTTGTTTTCAATAAGTTCCACTGCAACAGTCTTTGTTGATGCATTTCTTTGCTCTGACTTGTTCTGGATTCTTGTGACTTGTTCCCTGTAGGTTGAACATATTGTGATTTGGGTCTTTTTTTTTTTCTTCTGTAGACTAAAGGTCAAGCAGTCTCGTTGGGAAGCTGTTTCATCCCAGAGGTCATCAGATGGCTCAATTAGCCGTGGTGGAAGTACAGTGGCTGCATCGTCAAGAGGCAGGGGTGGTGGACACAGACTGGGCCACTACAGGAATGTATTTTCTCAGAGGAGTCCATCTTCTAGTTCCTCCCGATCCTCCTCCCGCTCTCCATCCCCCTCCCATGGCCGACACAGGGACCGCAGCAACCAAAGGCATAGACGCAGGTAAGACATTTCTCCACCTTTTCCTCTGATTACTGTTGGTTTCCTGTGTTTTTTTTTTTTTTTGGTTTTTTTTGTTTTTTAATGTTTTGGTCTCTGTGCTCCCAGTGATTCTGGCTCACAGTCAGACAGCAGCATTTCCAGTGACCTCCGACCTCAGCTGTCACGAAGGAATCAGAGAGGTGCACGTGGTCGTGGTAATGACAGGGAAAGAGGCCGTGGAGGTGGAGAGCGAGGAAGAGGAAGAGGAGGAAAGGCAAACAGAGGAAGGCGGTAAATAAATAAATGTTGTTACAAAAACTGAACTGTCTGATCAGGCCCCCACTATTCTCTTTGATCACTGTTATTGAGGAAGGCTTACTGCTTCACCTCTCATGGCAGAAGGATAGCTTGTGAATAACCTTTATCTTATCATTCCCAGAAACATGGATGATTCCAATGCAGCTGTGGGAAAGAAAAGAAAAGGTGGCAATGCTGGTCTGGATTTCCACGACCCCAACAGAGAGGCCAAGAAGCAGAGCAGAGCGGCTCGTTTCCACAAGCAGCTTCGCTCAGAGCCCCTGGTTCTCTCCATCAATGCCCTGGACTTACCTGATGGGACACAGGAGGGCCTCAGCTGGGAGGACTGCCCCATTGTGGGAACATGCCAGGATATTACCAAGCCTTACCTGAGGCTCACCTGTGCCCCAGATCCCTCCACTGTGCGCCCTGTACATGTAAGTTGTGCTCCTCCTTGTAAGTCCGTTTTTCAGCATGCTTTATACCATGCAAATAGCAGAAAAAGAGAAGACGGAAATCACATAAAATGAAACCTTTGAGTCCATTTATGTCTCCTTTTGCATCACAGAAGATCAGATTTTGATCTGTTTCTGCACTTGTTTATTATCCAGGTCCTGAGGAAGTCTCTGCAGGCTGTGAAAGTCCACTGGAAAACCCACCAGGACTACACCTATGCCTGCGAACAGATGAAGTCTATACGACAGGACCTCACGGTTAGTTACCTTCAAAAATGTTTTCATTTGTCCCTTTTGACTTTGTCCTTCTGGGATGTGTTGTTCCTTACTATTCTTAATTTGTGTATTTTCCCCCATCATGATCCAGGTCCAAGGAGTTCGTACTGACTTCACAGTGGAAGTGTACGAGTGTCATGCTCGTATTGCTCTGGAAAAGGTGAGTCTGTTTTCCTTTTATAAGTAGTGCAGTCGCTTGAACTGATGACAGGATATTTTTTAATACTAGCTGAATGTTAATTGTGATCAGGGAGACCACGAAGAGTTCAACCAGTGCCAGACCCAGCTGAAGGCCCTGTATAAGGACAATCCCTCAGAGAACATTGGAGAGTTCACAGCATATAGATTGATGTATTACATCTTCACTAAAAACTCTGGAGGTATGCTTTCATTGTTTTCTTCTCAGTCGCTATGACGCATCACATACACGTTGTCACCCTTTCTGCCTTTACCTTCATGTTTTGCCTCTGTCCATTCATCTTCCCCTCCAGATCTGACCACTGAGTTGGTGTACTTGACCCCGGCGCTGCGGGCAGATGAGTGTGTGTCTCATGCTCTTGCACTCCGCGCTGCCTGGGCATTAGGAAACTATCGCCGTTTCTTTAAGCTGTACCAGGAAGCCCCGCGCATGGCTTCATACCTCATTGACAAGTTTGTAGAGAGGGAAAGAAAGGTTGCTCTTCGGGCCATAGTCAAAACGTAAGTACCGTTCCAGACAGATATGTTTGCACATTTTGAATCCTCATTTTAGGTGCGCATGACTTACAACATCCCCATTTCTCTCCGCAGGTTCAGGCCCGACTTGCCGGTGCAGTATGTGCAGTCCAATCTGGGCTTCTCTTGTTTAGACTCCTGTATGGCCTTTCTTACTGGGCTAGGTGTCACCTTCTGTCCCTATGACCCCCAAAAGATAGACTGCAAAGCCAGCACAGCCACTTTGGCTGCTTCCTGAGGGGGGTGGGGGCTTAGTGCCATGAAGGGAGACGTTAAGGGACCATCATGGATCCTTACATATACAATGCACTGCACTTCAGACACCTGAGCCTGTTCAGATAGAGTAGCTGGCAGACTTAACAACTATAAAAGACCCATTTAGAAAGAAACATGCTAGAATACCTTCCAGATGTAGTTTCTGACTCAGATCACACTCAGATAAACACGAGGAGTCTGCACACATTGTCACTCACATATTGTACGTTAGCCTAACACCCTAACTACATTTATAATGCCAGGAAAGTGAGTGAACAGTTAAAGTTTGGGGTTAACATTTAATCTGAGCACTAAAAGGCCAAGAAGTCACAGAACCAGATCAGGGAGGCACCCTCATGGTTCCTGTTCCATAGCCACCATCAGATGTCAAAGCTAACAGTGTTCTGTTATGTCTTTTCCTTCCTCAAGTCAACAGCTTCAAGACCTGAAGATTCAAGCCTTGTCAACCAAAAGGGAAACACAAACAGCCGTTCTTCAAGTCATCCAGCTCTCTCCTGTTTAAAGTGAAGCCCACAGATTCAGGTCAACGTTACATATTCCTCTTAGAGACTGTGAAACAACTCGGTGAGAAGATGCCAACAGTTTGTCTGAAAAAAGAAGAAGAGGTGGTGGTTTGTATGTCCTGTCCTGCACCCCGTTTCCTCAAGGTATCTACAGTTGGCTGTTCCTTGTCCCTAATCATAAGGCCTGTAAGAGCAATGGACTCAAGTCTGTTCCTGATTGAATTAAGTTGTATTCATTTGCTGGCCACAGTCATGAAATAGTTGGCCAGCCTTCCGGAAAAAGTCTCAATCTGATGAGCATTGACTTTGTGTATGATAAAGAATGCAGGCGAGTGTTCTTCATCAAGGTGATCTCCTCACTCCCCCGTCCCCTTAAAGCTGAGCTCCATCTCCAGGATCAAAGCAGCCAGAGGCAGAGAGGGAATCTGCCTCCATCATCCTCAGGTAGAAGTCCTGCCAGCAGCCTGGAATCCATCAGACCACGATCAACACAGCAAAGTGATAAAGCCCATCTTTGATCCACGTTGGTTGTCTCAACCTCACCAGCTGTTAATCAAAAGAAACAGCCCAGCGTCTTTGAATACAGCTGAAGGTGAATTCAGCATCGACAGGAAACCTGCTGCTGCTGCAACAAGAAGGAGTAACAATGAGTGGTTTGTATGCTACCTCTGGTTCTGGTGTGCAAGGCTGGTAAGCGAGAGGGACTTCTCTGGAAGGAGGTGGATGACGGCACAACAGAGATGTTGCCTCACATTTCTTCTGTGTTAAATGTTTTATGTGGTAGTGTTTTGGACAGCAGTATTGGCCTTTCTCTTGACAAAAGGAAACAAGCATTATGGAGCTGCAATGCAGATTTTTAGAAAACATTTTCAGGTTGATATTGGACAAATGAATTAAGTATCACATCAAATTTGACTTCGTAAAATACCAAAAATGGCGACAGTAAGATCATAGAAATGACACTGTCTGCCATATGGTAAAGTATTTAACATCAAAACTTGAGTTTTAAACTGATGCAGACTGCAATAAAGAAGGAGGGAGATGTAAGCTGAGTTAAGACTAGTGCTTTAATGTCCATTTCATTCAGCAGCTATGATAAAATGTTCCAAAATACAACCTGCAGCTGTAGCTTTTTTACCCAAAGTGAAAGACATAAGTTTCTGAGTGGCAGTGGCGTTGTAGTGGAGTTTGTTCTTTTTGATGCGATTTTGGTCCATTTATCTTCAGGAGGTTTGTTCTTTTCAGGACCTAGAATACTATTGGTGGTGGTGGACACTGTTTTAGGTGATGATTGGGGAAAATATGTACAACAATATTTAAAATACTAGTGATGTGGTTAAAAAATGTACTCCAAAACCAACAGAACCTTTCACACAGATTTATTTGGATACTGCTTTCCTTCATATTCTACAATTTGGGCCCTCATACTGAAGGATTTTACTGATATTGAAAGCACAGGTTGACATTGTTCCTCATAATTTGATTTATTTTAATTTTATTTGAACAGTATTCATTTACCACTGTAGAAATTTTGAGCCTGAGGTATTTAAGACTGTGGTGTGACTAACCAGAACATGAGTGAAGGCAGGCTTGCTGTACAATCTACATGTTTACTTGTCTACAGAGTATATTTTTGTAAATATTGTATTATATTGCTGTGATTTCTTTTGTAGTTAATGCATAGTGTAGGTTTTTTGTTCACACACGGGTAAGTGTGATTTTTTTTCTTCTGCGAATCTCTTCTTAGACTATCTATGTGAATATGTAAATTTAAATGCAGATAATTGGATTGGCGTGTGTGCCGTGTCTTCATCAGTGGAGTTAATCATCAGCCGTTTCCTGTGCTAGTTTCTCCCAGTACAGCCTGAAAACATTAGCACCGCCTCCTAAAGCAGATTGTGGCGAGATATCATGCTTAATTTCCTGTGGTAGTACAAATGTGGTTGTTAAAAATGTCCCGTTAATAGGCAAAACACACAGTGCCACATTTGTGTCATGTAACTGTTAAGTTTTGGCAGATTGTTTCATGCAAACAAACGTCATGGTAACGCCCTCCACAAAGAGATGACTTTCCATCAGATTGACAAAACGCTCTTGTAAACCTGACTCATCAATTTGTTCAAACTGTTCACTGTTGACCATTATTTCAGCAAACGATTTGTAATGACAACGATCTCAACATGTTTTCTTTCTTCCCCCTTCATTTACCTGACCCCCCCGCCTTCTTTGCTGTTCCCTCCCCTCGCTCCCTAAACCTTCCTCTCACACACCACCAGACCTCTCATTCTTCAGCTCGTAGCACTGCTGCATTGCAGGAGCGCACGGAGCGATGATAAGTGGGCGAATCACCTCCAGACGCCAGCCGGAGAGGGTGAAATTGTGAGCAATCCAAGTGTTGGTTTGACCCACTCAAGTTGAAGCCGCACAGCTGATGAAATACATGGGAGCCTCACATAGTGAAACACAAGAAATGTTGATGTTGCTGCTAACGAGATTTGCTGCTAACCCAAATATTTAAAGTGTTTTGTTTTTTTCTGTGCCTGTTTAGCTTTAAAAAAAAGTTTGACATTTGACAAAGTCAACATGTACTGCTGTTTTCTGTCTGTCCAGATGCATTTATACTTTTTTTAAATAATTTGCCCACAATTTTTCGCTGGGAAAAATCTGTCATCATTCAGTATTTGTTTTGTTTGACCCCATGTATATTTAGTTAGGAATCATTCGGCTGGTGTTATGTTGGTGGACGAGTAGGTTCCAGAGTAGCAGTAGAGCCTTAAATCCGTAATTTTAAAAAAATGTGTCTGGACATACAGAACAGTTATCTGAAACTCACCTGCATTTGTGTTAATTTTCCATATTAAGACATCTTCTATAGGCAATGCTTCTTATCTGATCGGTGCTGGTGTGTGCTCCCATGCTAAGAAATGACATTTGGTTTCCTATGTGTACAAGCTTGACTGGCGGTAGTTTGTTGCCTTTGGTTTGTGTAAATGTGAAACTTTTGACACATGGTTGAAGTGTGTACATGTGATGTCTCAGGTTTTCAGCATTGATACAGCCCAGGATGTTTGCTCTCTTGTTTATTATATATTTATTTTCTTTTTCTTTTTTTTTTAGTAGAATATTTACCCCAGACAACTAACAATACACATTTTCATTTTGGGTGTTTTGTTTTCCCTCTCCGATGCCCGAGTCATGTTTTCAGTATTTGATTTGCTCCCATGTGACTGTATACCTCCTCATCAGTCTTTGTAACTCCTCTCTTGATATTTACTGGAAGAACTCCCCTGTCCTGCACCTCTGCTGTGTTCATCCCCCGCCTTTTCCCTTTTTAAATTAGTCTCTGTTCTTTCTATTTACCCCTCTCCCTGCATGCTGTCCTCTCCTGCGCTCCTCCTACAACTCTCTAACCAGTATTTGTTCTCTCTTCATCCTTCTCTTTTCCTTTGTTGAGTATGTTTGTGACCGTCTGCTGTGTGCAGTTAGTCACGCTCACTAGTAAGTATTGTATTGCGTCTGCAATGCTTTAATAGTTTATGTTGCAGCTCACTAACAACTGAAGCTGAAGGTCTATCTGCAATGCCTCCTCCCTATCGACAGATCTGACGTGATAAACTGCCATTTTGTAAATATTGTGTGTAAATATATATTTTTGAAAAAAAATCTAATAAACATCAATTATAAAGAGCAACTAGTGTTTTTATGTGATTTATTGTGGCAGAACTGATGCATAGGTTTATGAAAATGGATGAAACAAAAGTTCGAAACAATACAGCTCAGACGGATATTTTGCATGGACAGTTTATTTTGAAGAGTCAACCGTGACACTGAAAAGACTTGAAATAAGATGAGTTTTGTTACTTGACACATTGAAGATGTTGCCTTCCATGTTCACTGTAACACAGCCGTGTTTGACTTTTTAATTTTGGCCAGCACCGCTGAGGTAATCGATCTGAGTTGAAATAAAGTAGTTGGAAAAGGAAAGCGTTTCATGAAAAGGAAAGACATTTAGAAAAGTTTAAATTGCAGGGAAAGAAATACATCAGTAAGTGAAGATAAGTGTAGAGGAAATGAACATGCGATTAATTTAAGAGAAGGAAAGAACAGCAGAATATTGAGCTCATGCAATTAAGTTTAAAGGAAAAAATAATAGGAAATGATACAGTGGGGAAAATAGTTGAAAGATAGGAAGCTTTATACAGAAGGAAATAAAAATCAAAGGCATTTCTGCATTTACTACTCAAGAAAACCAGACTATAGGTGCCTGAAAATACAATGAAGTATTTTTCACTTGGTCTACCTTTAGACTTTATTCATTCAGCACAATATAATATCAGTACTTTCACATTAAATCTAATTACATGATTGTGGTCAGACGTTTTGCAAAAGACCAGGAGTTAGAGTCTAAAATAAACTCATGAAACACACGTTTGAAAGCAAGAGAAAAAAGATATATGAAGAGCAATAATCTGAGGAGAAAGGAGCAAAAGTAGAGCTGCAAAACTGTAGCTCAGAAATATATAAATAAACTACGAGACTAAGATGACAGAACTAAGCACTAACAGGCAAAGAGTGGAAAGCTAATTTAATGACAGGAAAAATAAAGCTAAGGAGCAGAGAGAGGAAATGAGAGGAATTATGTATGAAGCAAACAGAAAGATAGAAGCAAAGGTCAGGTCACTCAGAGAGAAAAGATTAAAAACTATATAAAGTATTATACAATAGCTACTACTACTGAAAAGAAGAATGAAACTAGTGAATTTAGATAAGAAAAAGCAGAAAATAGATAAAATAGAAGAAAGACTGAGGCTATGAGTCATGCACATGTATATATATATATATATATATATATATATAGATATAGATATATATATGTTCAGTGGTGCAGAGAAGCATGAAAGAAAAGAGGAATAAAAGCTAAACTAGAGAGGAAGGAAATGAGGTGACAAGGTAGTAAGGATTGAAATTAGAAAAAAATACAGAAGGAAAGAGGCTGCTTTGGTTTCTGTAACACCTGATGGAAATGATCCAGATGTCTCAGATCCTCAGGGAGAGGCTCATTCTGTCATCACAACTATCAGGGTTACTCCTATATTAAAGGGACAGTTCACCTAAAATCAAAAATATGCATATTTCCTTTTATCTGTAGTGCTATTTATCAGTCTAGATAGTTTTGGTGTGAGTTGCAGAGTGTTGGAGATATCGGCCGTAGAGATGTCTGCCTTCTCTCGAGTATAATGGAACTACATGGCACCCCCCTCCAACAACACATGCTTGCTCAAGATAATCCACAGACCTTGTTGTGAGCAGTTTCATGTAGGAACTATTTTCTTTGTATCAAATTACATCCGCCAACTGTATCATCACACAGAAGGAAGCTTGCATCTACTCATGGATGACAAGCTCGTGCTAATGACAGTGGGAGATGTAAACATTAAGGCACCGTACACAGGCCATGTTTTTTGCGCCCTCAATTGCCTTTGTTTTCAATGTAAACGTGCAGCAGGCTTGCCCAAACGCCAAAGCATCACCAGGGTAGTGCACATGCATTCCTGAGCGCCTGTTTTCCAGGCCCAAAGGCTGCACCCTGAGATAAACTGAGTTCAACTTTTGGTATGCAGCAGCACGCACTGGATGTCATTTGACAAGGACCAACCAATCACAGCCAACAGATATCTTTCCCTTTATCTGTAAATATCAGTCTGTGGTAAATATGGAGAAGAAGTTGTTCATTTTAGTGCAGAGCTGTCAGAGCTGTCAGAGCTTTAAATCTGTCCCACGGACAACAGACCTACACACATACAGCGCCTGGAAGAAGATCAGCTCTGCACTCACGATTTCAGGTAAATAGGCTATGATATGGTGCTGGTTAAGGTTGCTGAGCAACTTCGGACTCAACCTGCCACCACGGTTTAAAAGCTGGCACAGAAAAGGCACAAGAGTAGCACCCAGCGCCTTACCTCGGGTTTTCCATGCAGTTAAAGGTGTGGCATTGTCTAATAGAGTGCCGAAGTCACACCCCTTCCGGTAGAGCTCATGGGACCTTAGATCGGAAAAAATATGAATGGCAGTGAATGGGGAGAGCAATATTATCTTTTGTTCCCATTTGAGTTGCGACATGAAATCTAAATATGTTGTTAATGAATTTAAAACACAAATTTTAAGGTCAAGAAAGTCATAATTTGTGGTAAAACTGTTGAGATATAAGCTTTTTAATTAGAAAGACTCAAGAGTATACAGGAGGAGGTCGCGTTTGTGACGTCATAGCTTTCGCTGGCTTCCTGCAGCTTGGCCTCCCCGCTGAAATTCCACTGTTTTATGATTAATCGATTTATGATTGAAGATGTCTGTGTGTTTTGTGCCAGGTTGCAGTCCTCCAAGCTGCAGGAAGCGAACGAAAGCTATGACGTAACATACGCAACCGCCTCCTGTGTAGTTTTTCTAATTACTTTTTTTTCAAAAGCTTATATCTCAACAGTTTTACCACAAAGTATGACTTTCTTGACCTTAAAATTTATGTTTTAAATTTATTAATTACATATTTGGATTTCATGTCACAACTCAAACAGGACCAAAAGATAATATTTCTCTCCTCATTCACTGCCATTCATATTTTTTCCGATCTAAGGTCCCATGAGCTTCACCGGAAGGGGCGTGACTTCGGCACTCTATGGTGTCCTCCTCGGCTGAGCTGTAATGTTAGTGAGCTCAGTGGTGCTAGTTCAGCTCGCAGTAGGTGCACACCTCTTCCTGCGTGGTAATAGAGTTGGCAGGTCTAGTACAGTAGAGAGAAAATAGTTCCCACATGAAACTGCTCACAACGAGGTCTGTGGATTATCTTGAGTAATCATCATGATTTCTGGAAAGACACATTGTTGTTGAGTTTTATAAAATGTCTTTTTTATGCCACTTTGAGCACCACAAGCCGAGTGCCATCTTATGCCATTATATTAGAGAGAAGGCAGACATCTCTACGGCCGATATCCCCAACACTCAGCAACTCACACCAACACAATCTATACTGATAAACAGCACTATAGGTAAGAGGAAAAAAATATGTCATTTTGATTTTTGGTTGAACTGTGCCTTTAAATTACAACAAACCACATGTCGAGGCTTCTTTGACATTTAAAAAAGCAGCACAGAAACAAAAACAACCCAAAGAGAAACAGTAATGCGAGAGATTAAAAAAGATTGGAAACTGTTATGAATCAATAAAGGACAGAAGAGGAAAAGAGAGAAAAACAGTTTTATTTAGAGGTAAACATCAAACACAGCAGGAAAAGAGTGCAACAAAAACAAAGAGAAGAAATGATCAATACAGGTCAAGAAGTCTTTCAGCTGTACTGAGTGAGGAAGGAGACAGAAAAAACAAGGAAGAGATGACAGCAAAGAGCGAAATAAGAAACATCAGATGAAAGTTTGAATAGAAGAGAATATGTGAACTCTTATACAGCGAGCCGTTTTATCTGCAGGTTAATGATGAAAGAAGCAGCCTCCGGCCTGACACATTCAAATTCTACTGCCTTTAATCCTCAGCTGGTGTTGTAAAGCCGGCAGCAAAAGACTGCTTCTTACTGCAACTCCCAGCTGAGCATGTGTATAGCTGTGTGAATGTAAAACAGGGGTTTAAAGCAGCTTTAGAAAAATAAAACTTCCCTGGGTGAGTGCGAGGAGAAGGCTCATCAGTAGTGAGGTACTGAGCCTCAGAAACAGAAACTAACAGAAGTGAAGTGAGGAGTGAGGAGGTAAGAAAAAGCTCTGCAGAACCAACAATCTCAAACACAGAAGAGGAAACAGGATTAATACTGACAGCTGTAGTATAAGCTACAAATGTATGAGAGGTAGATTGTTAGAAAGGCAAAACAACAACACAATGAAATTCCAACTACATCCAGACAAACATTAGTTCTGCTGTTTGTACTAATGATCGCAGTGTCACAGCTGTCTCTCCGTCAACCAGGTAACTGAACAACAGGGCCGTACCAAGTGTCTTAGTTTTACTCTCAAAGCTTCTATTAGGGTTTTTAATGAGCTTCAAAATGTCTGTCATCATATTTTATGATGTCATCGCCCCAAAAACTAATTTAAAAAATCCTCAAACAAAATCCTCAGCTTAGGTAAAGAGATTAATCTGATTAAATAAATTAGTTGCTGTTACGTTGCTGGTTGACCTCCCTGTTATACCGATTCGTGCTTCCTTTTAGGTGAGAAAACTGTTTGTTGACTACAGTGAAAATGCTGTTTTTGAAAGGCTTTACGCTACCAAATGTGTGCTGAAGGAGAATATTTTGTTAGATAAAAGTTTGCTGTGAATTTTGGAGGCTATTACATCTGTCATTTTTCAGTATTTTTTAGACTTTTGGACTTTACATTGCTCTGGAGTTACTATAAATGTTTGGATTACACGAGTCAGAAACAATGCTACACAGCAGAGGTGGGACCAAGTCATTGTTTTGCAAGTCCCAGGTAAGTCTCAGGTCTTTGCACTCAAGTCCTGAGTCAAGTCCCAAGTCCTAAACTTCCTAAACAAGTCATATAAGGCACTTTTTTCACCATATGTGATGCCATTTTACCAACAGAGTAATAACGTTAGCTAAGCATTAGCTAGCTAGCTAGGTTAGTATTTCAGTTTCAGGTGATGAATGAAGCTGGAAGTTGTTCCATTCCCATCTGTAATTTTTGACCTATACGTTTGGCATACTGCAATTTGTTTTTTGTTGACCACTGTGTAGTTTTTTTGTACGAGAATTAAATTATATTTGGTACCATTTCTTCAACTGGTGCTCCGTGACATAAGGTCTTCTTCACGGTTCTCTCCTACAACTTGACTGTATGCTCTCGGACAGGTTCAGACAAAGTGGATTTGGTGAATCAAGTGTCGACTTGCTGAATAAATCGAGTTAATGTTGAATCAGGAAATGAAGGGAGGTGAGTTAATTCATGGCGCACTTTTTAAATAGCACATTTTTTTCATCTTTGGGTTCGGTGGAAGGTATCAAGTATTTTCAAGTCAAAAGGTGAAAATCCAAGTACAGTTACGAGTCATTAGTGTTAAAGTCCCACAGTCCAAAGACATGCAGGTTAACTGGTGACTCTAAATTGGCTGTAGGTGTGAATGTGAGTGTGAATGGTTGTCTGTCTCCATGTGTCAGCCCTGTGATAGTCTGGTGACCTGTCCAGGGTGTACCCTGCCTCTTGGCCCAATGTTAGCTGGGATAGGCTCCAGCCTCCGCAACCCCCAACACGATAAGTAGTTACAGAAAATAAATGAATATTTTTTCTTCTTTGGGCTTGGTGAAAGGTATCAAGTACTTTCAACTCAAAAGGCAAAACTCCAAGTGGGAAGTTACAAGTCATTAGTGTTAATATCAAGTCAAGTTGAAAGTCTTTTTTGGTTTTGTCCAGTTGAGTCTAAAGTCATCAAATCTGTGACTAAAGTCTGACTTGAGTCCAAGTCATGTACATGGAGTCCACACCTCTGCTACACAGCCACCACTAGATCTACAAATAGTATAACACTAATAATATCAGTGCAGCCTAGTCTTCATCTGCAGCTGTGAACAGACACGCAAAAAAAAAAAAAGCCGTCAAATGTTGGAGTCGAATGATACGCTCCAAAGCTTTGAACTATTCGGTACAGCCCCACTGAACAGTCTTGATGCGTAATCTTACTCATGTGCTCACACACACACGCACACTCTCACACACACACACACACACACACACACACACTCAAACAGAGATTTAGTAAATAACTGTAATCAAAAATAAGTCATTAAACATTGTACAAACTTCTGTCTTTGTACAGTTTGACCCGTGAAACTTCAAAAATCCCATATATTACTCAAAAAAAAAAAAATCATTCTCACAGTATATTTCACCAGCTCCTGTAGTGTTAGCCAACATCTTTAAATTCATAAAACAATACTCCTTTAAAAGTTTTAAGCAACTGTCTATATTACACAACATCCTCTCCCAGGTGCTAGGTATTCATCGGTAGGATGGACAGAAAATGGGTCCTAAACTATTTACAATTTCAGTCTGTTTAATGTCTCGAGGAGCGCTTGTGATGTAGGCAGGAAGGAAAACCACTTTTACATTTCCAAGGATCTCACAATCTGTCCTGCAGCGTCCATGGATCAGCCAATCCCAGAGTTCGTAAGAGACGTCCCCCGTCGGGCATCCTGGTGGGCAGCTCAGTACGGGGTGAAGCGGTTATATCCTCCTCTGTACAAACTGGCCTGTTGACAGAAGCAGTGTGCCAGGTGTGACCAGAGTCTGCTGTTAACCGCAGATGTAACAAGATAGCTTTCAACAGAGGGAGGGTGTTTAGACTCGACTCACCATTGTACCAACTCCATATGTCGTTGTTGGTCCGACTGAGTGGTGGTAGGGATCCGCAGCTGTGGCGTAGACCCGTCCGTATCTGGTCAAAGACATCAGGAGCAGGTGTAAATGTCATCTGCAGCAGCTGGGATTTTAGAAACCCTAACCCTACCTGCTATTTAACCTTCTTCTTTTTTAATAATTCAGCAGTTCAATCATATTTTTGTATGTTTTCTCCTCATAATAGACTTCTTCTTTAAATTGTGCCTGAAATTGTTTAAAATTAAAGAAATTTAGTCTAAAAAAAGCCTTCTTATCCCCTGAAACTGTCACTCCAGCAGTAAAAGCTGATACGTAATCTTGCTGTGACAAACATGTGCAGCCTGTGTGTGGTGTTTATACCCGTCACTGTAGGTTGCTGTGGCAGCAGACGCTGACTGAGCCACTCTGTAAGCTGCAGGATAGCCACTCTGCACAGAAAAAATAAACAACATGAATACAGATACAGTACTTTAAAATTAATTTAATGTGTGTCAAAGTGTGCAACTACTTACATAGACTTCTGCTCCATACAGTCCATCCTGATATACCACCCTGATAAAAGTGAATAACAACAATATGATTGATATGAATAACTGATTAACTGATTACTTGTTGAAGCTCTAAATACCTTCAGATCATGCACTTGTACTCAGACACAGAGTCTTACCCGGGGTAGGTGGGGACAGCAGCAGGTGTGGCTGCAGCAGAGCGAATCGTGTTGTAAACGGCTCGGCCTCGACCACGCAGCGCAGAGCCCCGGTAGGCCAAGGTGGGAGTTGCTACGGGATACGGGAAGCTGGCAACTAAAGAAAAACACAATCGTAGAAAAAGTGAATTGCAAGTTGGTGATCTTCTAACAGTAATAAGTCAGTGTTAGTGAGAGGAACTTACCTGTGTAGAGTTCAGGTGCGTACATCGCCCCCATGACGGGGTTGATCTTCCATCCAGAAGCTTCACAGAAAAAAGAGTGAGAATAAGTTTCACAGAAGCCTCCCAGAATCCTTCAGTTCAATGAGCAAAGATCAATGTATTACTTGAAATTTCGCCATTCACAAGAGGCGTCTGAGGCTTCTTGGTAACGACTCTTGCGGTAGCATTATTAACCTGGGGGGACATGGAACAGGATAAAGATGATGACAAAGGATAATATTAACGTAGAAACCAACAAAAAAAGTATAAACTCTTCCGCACCTCGATCTTTCTCCCCTCCACAATCGTCCCATTTAGCTTTTCTCTTGCTCTGTCAGCCTCAGCTGCACTCTCAAAGGTAACAAACCCAAAGCCCTGCAAGGTCACACGATCATATTGTTTGTTTATATTATGTTTTTGTTTGTTAAAATTTCAGTTTTAGCTTTGATAGTATGTCTGTGATGCTCACCTTAGACCCCCTCTCATTGAAGATAATTTCCACATCAAGGATCTTCCCAAATTGCTGAAAATGTCCAAATAAGTATTTCATGTGAATATAATAGAAGAGATAAAGATCATTTTATTTTGTTTACCAATATAAACAACAATTTTATGTTTGATATTGAGAAATTCATACCCCAAACATCTGGCGCAGGTCTGGGTCTCTGAAGCGAAACGGGATGTTGGAGACATGGAGGCGTTTCGGTTGGGCCTTACCTGACCCCTCCTCGTCACTTCCACTTCCTGCTCCACCCCCCGATGACACGGACACGCTCAAAGACTGGGGGTCAGAGGTCACAGGGGCCAACACATCCTCCTGACAGTGAGAAAGTATGAAAACACGAAGAAGAGGAGGAGGAGGAGGAGGAGAGGAAGCAAGCATGTGGATAGGAAATTAACGGACGAGAAGGAAGAGGACGTGAGAGAACAAACAGAAACAGAAAGATGGAAAAAGAAAGAGTATGAATGAGATGAGAGTGGGTGTGAAGACAAAACAGGGAGAGGGCATCAGTAGAAAAGCAAAGAAAGAAAGTCAATTCAGAGAACAAATTCGGCAACATTTCTCAGAGAACTCTGAGTCGTGTAAGCATCTCATGGCATTAGGCAAAGATCATTTTCATAAAGTGATTCAAACCAAAGTTCAAAGAGCATTCAGCAACCAGTGATCCCTCTCAGGCAAACGTGAGGAGGCATGAAAAGGGCTCCATTTTAGTGAGGTGTCTCTGAACACATGCCTGTAGAAGGGTATAAAGACTAATGCACTGTACAGTAACAATAAAGATTATATATCTGACACTAAAACTACGTATGCTCACCCAAGCTGTGGCAAAGAGAGTTAAAGGAGCAGTGTGTAGGATTTAGTGGCATCTAGTAGTCTAACTTTTCCTGGTTAGGATTCTTTGAGTGTCACCGTTAGGAAGTTTTTACCGGGAGCTGAATTATCCGCAGAGGACTCCTCTTCTCCAAAACAAATGGACGAGGTAATTAAAACCGGTAAAAATACTGAATAAAGCAGTCTCATGTTACAAATCAGTGTTTCTCTAACGCTGTTCGGCACATCATAAACAGGCCACTAGCCAAGCACCTGCTAATGTTCGCTCCAGACCTTCAGGAGGTTCTGTCTCACACAGGATCCACCCTCTACTGGACTCTATGGGTAATACTCTCTGCCAATAATGAGCATGCATTCACCCACTGAAATTTGCTTAAACTAATCAGAACATGCCAACCCAAATACATGCGGACACCACAGTATATAAGGGAGTACCATGACACTATCCAACATTCTTTCTTCTACAGAGACAACAACGATTGCTCACTGTCTTCAACCCCTGCAAGGCTAGGCCATGGCTCCACCCAGTGTGGCTGCCCACTGCCTTGGTTGGCTTGGGCCCCCTGCTTCTCCACTATGGTGGCCAAGATTATAAAGACATGGGTGTACTATGGCGACTAGCTTTTAGCTGGTCAGGATCAGTGTGGCAGGGTCAATATTATGTCACAACAGGGCGTTTCATCATTGGACTCCATCCACTGTACCCATGGAGTCCAGCTCTGCCTTTGTCAGATAGAATGATGGTTACAGTATGGTAACCTTAGTTCTATTGGCACAAATGGAGCCCTCTACAGAGGGGCCCTGTCGGTCCTATGCCGCTTGCTGAAGAGAATATATGATGACAGACAGTGTTGTGGTGCTGCCTTACGTACCGTGGGCTCTGCTCATATTTGAGAAGCCACGTCCTGATTGGCTGTCTACAGTTGAGCAAATTTCAGTGGGCAAATGCGTGCTTGTGATTAGAAGAGAGTATTACCCATAGAGTCCAGAAGAGGGCGCCGCTTGTGTTAATAGAACTCGGGTTACAATATCGTAACCTCGCAGTGATTCAGACCAGTAAAATCACTGAATAAAGCTGTTGTCTCTTAAAACAATTGCGTTTTTTTGATGCTGAGTGTTGCGAATCGGCTGCTAACTACCATGGCAGATGTGAAAACATAAAAACGAAATGCGAATGGGCCTATCTAGAGCCAGTGTTTTGTTTATCCGTTCTGGGCTAACGTAGAAACATGACGCTGCAACATAGTGCTCCCTATGTAGATATACACAACTCATTCTAAAGTAACAAAAACACAATCATTTTTAGTTTCAGGTGATTATACACTAAAGAAAACATACTTTTTTTTATTAGACTCCATTTCTACCAATATATCCTCCTAAATCCTACACACGGGACCTTAACATAAAGTTCAGGCGCCACCGAAAAGCAAAAACGACTGTTACTTATTCTCATGTTATCTAAGCATTTGTAAGAATCTGTAAAATATAAATAAAACTATGGTAATATTTAACTAGTTACAATCGCCCCATGCACAAAACTTCAAGGACTAATGTGCCAAAACCAAAACATTCACTAACCCACAATGCACCACGATGCTAGTGTGTGCACGTATATGTGTGTGTGTGTATGTGTTGGTCAACCAGCATCATCAACCATTGCAAAAAAAGAATTGTTAAATATATGTTTTTAAGATAAATAAGTCCAAACAAGAAAATAAGAGTGAAAGGGTCTGCAAGAACAGAAACTAAACACGGTAAGCTTCAGCAGTAAGAGCAAGAAAGAAGAAGACATTAAAAAGCAAAAGAAAAAGTTCTGGAAATGTACTGATATATGAAAAAATCTTTATGCAGACTTGAATATTAGCTTTGTAATAGAGGCAGATAGTGGAGAAGGCCTCAGTGCAGCAGTGAAAGATAAAATTAAATTAAACTAAACAAGGCAAAGAAGGTGCGCAAAAAGCTTTAAAAGGAAGAGGGTGATGTGAAAGGCACAGAGATCAAAACTGAACGTTCCACAAGGGTCAGTCTGGGGTCACGGTGCTGCTTTTCTGCCAAGGGTTAAAGGTCATTTGTCAAGGGGCATAATTAATAAATAGGGGATACACAGAAAAAGAAACAGAGACACATTCACACAGGGCAGCATTTTACACACATAAACACACACAGGCCAGTGGATTACACTACACTGGTTTACCACGGCTAACTACTGCAGACTACCACATCCACCCACACACACCACAGTGAAGAGGGGAGACAGGGAGAGAGGGTTGAGTTGGGTGGTGGTGTCATGTCACGATGCAGAACTGTGTTTCTGGACCTGAGCGATATTTCAGAAGGGGAAAGGGGGGTCATCTGGCCAGCCTCCCCCTTTGACCCCCTCCCTCCGTGGCGACGTCTCAACTTTCCCCCGAAAATCAGCACGGACCCGAGTATGTCAGGGGCTCTAGTAATAAAATATATAGATGGGGCCACAAAACACCATTTATGAGAGGAGGAAGAGAGATGTGCTGCGGCAGGACACACAGCGGACCTGCCACACAGATCAGACTAAACACCTCTGTCCTGATCACAGTGGATGTTTTCATGCCTGAAGGAGATTTCATTAGTGTGTGCCATACTGATTAATGTATAAAAGGAGCCCTAAAAACCCTATTAACCTCATAAAAGGGAAAAATCTGCCAGTAGAGTATTTCAACCGGTTTCCAACTAAAATCACATTTGTGCATAGAATTATGTAGAAATTTGTGTCTGTGCTTTTTTGTTGATGATTAGCAAATATAATGCTAATATGCTAAATCTTAGTGTAACGTTAAGGTTTGATATGAGGTGGTTGGATCACTCTTAGTGAGAAGAAACAGCAGGATGGAGATAGATTTCTTTTGTGAGCAGCATTTTACTCGTCTTTATACTTAAGCAGGGGTACGTTCAATCTCAAAAAAGTGTGCGCCACACTGCTATGGTTTTAAGGTTGAACAACATGTTTCTTTGAAACTTCTTTGTGCAACAGGCTTGGAGGTGCGTTTTCTCTTGTTTGGTGGGTGTTTCAGAGGTGTTACCAGATCAGCAGTGCTCAGTATATAAATCAGATTCTGGTAGATATTTACGTATTGTACCTACGATTCATGTGTGAATGTGAGCGTGAATGGTTGTCTCTCTCTCTATGTGAGAGCCTTGTGATAGTCTGGCAACCTGTGCAGGGTGTACCCTGCCTCTCGCCCAATGTCAGCAGGGATAGGCCCTAGCACCCCCCGCGACCACCAAGGATAAGAGGTTACGGAAAATAAATGAATGAATGAGTGAATAGATGGCACTCGGTTTGTGGCTCAAAACACCAAAAAAATACATTTGAAGAACAGCAATGTCTCTTCCCAGAAATCATGACGCGTCCATGAGTAGATGCACACTTCCTCCTGCACGGTGACATGGTTGGTGGGTGTAGTTCCGTAGAAAAAAAATAGTTCCTACATGAAACTGCTCACAAAAATATGTGTTTTTGATTTGGGGTGAACTGTCCCTTTAAAAAGAAAGGATAACGCAGGTTGCTGCACTAGAATCAATGAATATTAAATTTGACTGCAGAAAATATTTATAACAAATCGATTTTTTATCAGAAAGGTTGAAATATTCCCACTGCACTGGCAGATGTTTTCACCTAATATACTGAAATACGATTTTAAGGACACAATTACATACAAAATGAAATGACAAGATTTATTAGCAGTGTGACAAACAAAAATATTATTCTTAAATCAATATTCAAGCAAAAAGTTTTGGTGTTGAAACAGTAAATCCTTTTACAGATCATCACTCACACATCAGTTTGAATTCTGAATTGAATGAATCACAAAGACATAACAACAAAGTGTAAGTTATGTAGGCGACATCCTCAACACTCCTAACTGTAAACTGTCAATATCATCACAAATCTTTACAGCTATGATCTCGGAAGGTGATCTGTTTTATTGCCTGCTAAATAAGACACAGGGGAGACGGAAAAGTGGGGATTTATTTTCATCAACAAATCCCCACTCAGCTGCCCCCCCTCACTGTCAGCGGTGTTCCCATACATGGACACAACAGTGGAAGGGTCTCTAAATATAGAAGGAAACTCTATCTGGCCATGTTCCCCTGATAGGACATATGGATGTACCTGAAGCAGCACGGCTTCTTGTCACATTGACTTACTGCAGATCAGATTTTATTGGGACATGAACTTCGTGTCTGTTCTTACCGTGTTGCTGGACGTCAGAGTGTCCGCCCCGTCAAGCTGAGGGCCCTGATACACTCTGAGTTGGGGATGTTCGGGGTACTCTGAACTGGGGTGTGCAGTGGTGAAGTCAAGAGGTGGCAGTCTGCCCGCAGATGTTGGCGGACCTTGACCTGGTGGTGGGTAGGAGGGAGGAGGGGCGTAGACCTGAGGCAGGGCGGGGTCGCCGCTGCCGGGGCCGGCCTCCTGATTGGGGCCTCCCTGAGGAGAAAGAGAGGGACATGTCAGCCACTGATAGCACACAGAGGTGATACTCCATTTACGGCCCATGGGCCAAATGCGGCCCTCGATAGGGTGCAGGGTGGCTCCCAACCATTTCTGACTCAGAATGAAAACAAACTGATTTACAGTGGCAATTTTTTTGTACTTTGAAAGTAAATACGGTGCCAAATTGTGTAAAAAGCATCAAAATAGAGCTTGTTAATTAAAAAAAAAAATGCTAGGGGAGGATCCCCCGAACTGAGGTCCGAGCTAAGCACCAAATGTTCTTAAATCCTAGAAAAAACCTTGCAAACACTTCACCTGTGCAGAGCTGCTGCAACTGGATTTGCCTCTTGGCAAAGCCGAGTTAGGACAGCAGATGTCAAAAAGGTTTAAAAAAGGCAATTGATTTATTATATATACTGATAAAATATTAATGATTGTTTATAAACTGGTTCTGGCTTCCTGTCTTTTTGTAAAATTGCCCCCCTGGCAAAGCAAGTTGAGTATTCTTTGGTGTAAACAAACTAACCACCATGTTGTTCCTGCTCTTCTGCTTTCACTATAATTAGTTGTTGTGAGTTTTATCATGCATAAACAAACAAATCAGATGAACACAAACCTTTAATAAATGTGAGAATGACAAAAATAAACCCAACCTCTGATTGTCTAAAATGCTTATTAAAGCGTTCAAATATTAAGATTAAAAGGATTTCTAATGGCCAGTGGTGGAAGCACATTTACTCGAGTGTCCCACTGTACTGAAGTATAATTTTTAAGGTACTTGCATTTACTTATTTTCATTTACTGCTACTTTGTACTTCTACTCCACAGAGGTAGTTTTTACTCCACTAGATTTATTTGACAAGTTACTGGTTACTGAGCAGATTCAGATTCAGAACAAAAAATAAAAAATATAATCAAAGAATAATACTTGTATCTATTTATCTTAAGTGATTCCCAGGAGTAAAATTCATAAGCGACCCGGCATTGTGCAAAGTAAATAAAATTCATTCCACCTTTACCACCTGCATCACTGAAGTCATAAACACATTAATGTATTAATAGTTATAAACCCATAATATAATACATATTGTCCTGAGATGGCCCATTTGGCATATTGAGAGCTTTTACTTTTGGCACTTAAAGAATATATTGATAATACTTTTACATAGGTTAAAAATATATATGAATAAGTCCTCCCTGGCTGCTTACAGCTAGAGCTGTTAATCAATGAGACAATCAACAAAAAATGAATGAGCAACACTTTTTTTTAAATAAATAATTAATATTTTGTCATTTGTCAAGCAAAAATGACAAATATTTCCTGCATTTCTCTGTTTTATATCAAAGTAAAATCAACTTTTTTGTTTTAGACTGTTGGACAAAAGAACCCAAAAAGTTTTGCAAAAAAGTTTTGCACTATTTTCTGATATTGTATAGATAATCAACCAGTTCACTGAAATACTAACAGGTCAATCAATAGACACAATACAGTTTTGAGAGACTAAAACCACGACTGAGACACATCAAAAGTCAGTAAAGCCTAATTTTAGGCAAATCACACTTAAAAAATCACATATTAATACTGAAGCTGTAACATGTACATTCTAGCATGCATGAACAGAACAACAACAACCATCCCATACAGCCTTAACACAAGTGAATTATCCAAGTTAGAAGCTAAAAGCATCGTCTTACCCCTTTACTGCATTCCTCGATTTCTGATGCATTGTCCAACAACTGCAGCATGTTTTAATGCCAGCTGACCACCCGCCTACCGCACCATAAGTCCTACTGATCCACCAATCACATCAAATGATCGCCAGAGCAAAAGGGACCAAGCCACACCAGCTGTGGTCATCTGTTAACTGTCAATTACCTCACCACCCCCACCCATTCACCCACCCACACTGCCTTCACTTTAAACACTTGCAAACACATGCAGACTGCAGACAAGATGCTACCGTTGCATGTCAGTATGTCATGCTAAAGGTCGGCTCTAAGAATACCATGTTTGAGATGGCAACATGGTTTTATTACTTTTCCACCTACATTTTTTTTAATAAAACAGCGTATATCTCCACCTTCTACTGCCCTGCTGGGGAACAAAGCTCCATTATTTTCGCAGGAATATTTATGACTTCATGCTAAAATATCTAATAGCCCAATTATACGTAACTCTTGGTGCAGTAACAACGCAGATAATCCCAGGCTACTAAATGAAATGTATGATTATTTTAGGTTGTACAAACAACAGTAAAAACCCTCATAAAAACACAGCTGGTGTCAGTTAAAATCGTGTCAGTCATTTCAGTGACTAACAAATGGGGTAAACATGAAGCCACAACCAGCATCTGGTTAGCTTAGCTTAGCATAAAGACTGGAAACAGAGGGAAACAACTGGCCTCGCCTGCAGCTTTAATAGGCTACCTTTAAAGATAAAATAAAATAACTAGATATAATATATTGATTGCTAAGCTTTAAAGTTGCTGGTTGGATGATTTTCTTACCTTTGAACACAACAAGACCAGCACTTTCCTCGTTTCCAGCCTTTATGCTAAGCTAAGCTAAGCTAACTAGCTTCTGGCTGTAGCTTCATGTTCAGTTGGCAGACATGAGAGGAATTAACTTTTCACCTTGTCAACATATTTCCCAAAAGGTCAACGTATTTGTTTAATTGAGCTTTTTTTTTATTTGCAGTATTAATATTTTCACTTAATTAAAGGATTACATAAGTTCAGACCGCTAAACTTTCATGTTGCCTTACATGCAAAATGCCACAAGTTTGTCAGCCAGCTTTAGGATTTAGAGGGATTAAATATGATTGAAATCTCTCTCCACTGTCATTTCATAACTTCTCATATATCTCTCTATCAGCTGTTGCACTCAGGAGGTGTGAAAAATTAGAGATACGATATGAAGATGCAGATAGTACAATAAGAAGGAACTGGAGGTTGAAGGAACATTGATTGTGTGTCAAACACTTGAGCCAAGTTTACAAACTGTGTTCATGGAAGTCTCAAGATGGCAGCATTAAAGTCAGATCCGTCTTGTGTTTTCTGTTGTGAAAGTCAACTTTTCCAATCCAGCACCATATTTAAAGTACCACAGGGTAGAATGAACTAAGAGCTCACAACCTCACCAACTGCTCTGTGAGGCAGTACCGACTCACTACTAAGGCACAGCCGTCCATTAAAGAGACAGTTTAAAACAATCAAATGTACATATTTTTTCTCTTACCTGTAGTGTATTAATCAGTCCGGATTGTTTTGATGTGAGTTGCAGAGTGTTGGAGATATCTGTCATTGTAGAGATGTCTTCCTTCTCTCCAATATAATAGTACTAGATGGCACTTGGCACTCAAAGCAGTTCCTACATGAAACTGCTGACAACAAGGACTGTGGATTATTCTGAGTAATCGGGTCGTGATTTCTGGAAAGGACATTGTGCAGGAAGTGTGCATCTACTCATGGATGAGAGGCTCTTACTCATGACAGTGCAAGATGTAAACATTGATGGCGTCCTCCTCAGCTGGGCTGTAACGTTAACTAGCTCAGTGGTGCTAGGTGAGCTAGCAGTAGATGCACGCTTCCTTCTGCGCAGTGATACGGTTGGAGGGTGTAGAAAGAAAATAGTTCCTACATAAAACTGCTCACAAAAAGGTCTGTGGATTATCTTGAGTAACCGGGTCATGATTTCTGGAAAGAGACATTGCTGTTGAGTTTTTAAAATATATATTTTTTTTGGCACTTTGAGCACCACAAGCCAAGTGTCATCTAGTTCCATTATATTGGAGAGAGGGCAGACATCTCTACGGCCGATATCTCCAGCACTCTGCAACTCGTACCAAAATAACCTAGACTGATGAATACCACTACAAGTGAGAGGAAAAATATGTATTTTTGATCAAGATGCCATCTTGATAAAGTGTGTGAGCATGCTAACATTTGCTAATTAGCATGAACCAACTGACTGGCATTGCCATCTCTTGAGTCATGATGCTAGTGAGAATAAAACAAAGATGGACTAAAAGGTTTTTGGCTTGTGATACAAAACATATTGGAAATGTAATTAATTCAACGTCACTATGTTTTTTTTAGAGGGGCCTACCCTACAGGCATGTTTGTTGTTGTCATCCTCTCTAATTTTGGAAGGTAGGCTGTAGTGTAATGATGCACTCTCAGGGTTGTGCTAGTTACAGTATCGTGCTGGAACACGTTTCCACACTTGTCAACACGAACTCTTGTCTGTATTGTGTCTCATTTATCTCAAGAAACAACCAGTGTGTGCCTGCCTGGACCCTCCACACAGACATAAAAGTGACCGCAGAATGAAGATAAGACAATCTGTTAGATACCTCTACCAGTCTTTGTATTCCCACAGACTGTAACGACCAGCCACCATGCCTGATTTACTATCACAGTGTCAGCAGACATTCAGACACCGTGTCCCCCCTGTCCTCCTTGCAGGCTTTTTTTGAGTTCCATTTGTTCCCTCTTTCTCTCGCTTCCCTCCTCAGCTGTCAGTTTGTGGTCAGAGGTCAACGGCTCTGAGCCAGGTGCCTGCTGGGACAGCTGCTACAGGATTTACACACAGACGACACCAAACTGCAGATGTGGCCTTTTAGTGCTGGCCAAGATCCAAATGTTAGCAAACACGAAGCTTATTGAATTAAGCTAAATATCCCTTTTCCCACCCATTCATTCTCTACATCCTGTTCTCTCCTCTTTAGTTTTTTAATGTAAGATATGTTTGGCTTTTATCAGATCGTTCATAATGAAGAGAAACAGTAAAGTCGGAGGTGAAACAGAAGGCAGACAGGGACATGTGACAAAGGTTCTTGACCAAATTTCAAACCTACATTCTTCAAACAGATGCTGCACTTTAATCATGCAGACATTTCTGCAGAAAATTACTGAAGGACTGCTCAGTGCTTGGAAATTTACCATTGTAAACTAAAAAGTTCAGGATGTTTTGGAGAAGTATCGAATTTCTCAGCCCTCAAAAGTCTCCTTTTGGTTCCAGTCACCTTTAAACAATACCTCTTTCTTCACCTGTTTTCTCAAAGCACAGCTCTAAATGTTATTTATTTATATTTAAACGCACAACAGGCGGGATTCACACTTATTTTAAGTAGCGTTAAGTGCCAAAAACAAGATAGGTGACAGAATCTCCTCCTGTGATTAAGGAGAGGACGGCTAAAAATACAGCTGGTGTGAAGCTCAGAGACAAGGTAGAGAGATACCAGATGCATTGTGGCATTAAGGGTATGTCAGGGACACTTAGAGACACATGTAGACACACACACACACACACACACACACACACACACTTGCACAGCCTGTTGGAACCACTGAGACCAGTGGACTAAAGATAACCCCTAATGTGTCCTTACTGTTAAGTGAATAAGATCTTTCGCAATCAGTGTGCTTTGCCCAGCTCCCATCAGGGCTTCTTGATTTGTCATTCCTCTCATCCAGTCCCCATTAAGCAATGCAACACTAAACTAAATTAGATACGTGACTCATTTACACAAAGACATCAGGGCCCTTTGGTTTCTTTTGGTAAATTAAATGTTTTCTTCCTCACTAGGAGTTTATTTGCTGCACTGATATTCATTTCTAATACACAAAACTCATCTAGAAATGAGAGGATTATGCGATCATTAGGGAATAAAATTGAACATTTTAGCTCTTTGATGATCAATTAATTGTTTAAGTCATTTTTTAAACAAAAGATGCTAAAGATTAATTTGTTCCAGCTTCTTAAATGTGAACATTTGTTTATTTTGATAATTCCCTAGCCTTCTGTGACAGTACATATGATTAATTTGGTGTTTTGAAATTGGGGTCACATGTCAACTTGTGGTCCAAGAATGTGTGATGGGCATTTCTGATAATATAATGACATTTCAACAAGAAAATAATCAGCAAATTAATTGGTAGTGAAGCTAATTGTTGTAGGCAGCCCTAAACTCACTTAACTGGATTTTATTCCAATAATTTTTCATATAAAAACACATCCATACTATTATTTCCAACTCTTAAAATCTGAGTCACCTTATAAAGACTCAACAGACTGGATATTTTACGATGCATGCTTGTGAGGAAACACATTTATGTACGAGCAAATGAAGGAGAGTTTACCTGAACTATGCTGGGGTAGCATGTGGTTGTCTGTGGGTAGACAGGGAGTCCATAAGGCTGGAGAATCACAGTGGGTGAGGAGAGCATAGCCCAAAAAACACACACAAGAAGACAGGGAACGGTGGAAGATGGGAGGAAAAGGAGAAGGAGAGCAGGGGAAAAGGAGAGAGTTGATATGCACACAGGAGAGCAGGCGATCAGGCTGGAGAAAAAAGAAGAAGAAGAAAAAAATCCCAACAGGAGAACAGATCCAAGAGGGTGAGGTGTGGGGGACGAAGGTTAAGACTCTATTTAACCTCAGAGATGAGTCAAAGAGGAAAACACAGGGAAAGTCCACAAAACAACCGAAGTCCTGTCCAGAAAAGACAGGATATAGAGCAGTGAAAGAGAAAGCAAGTGGGCTTCTGTGTGTCCATCAGTTGATCATGGAGCCTGACAGACAGAAACACATGCTCTGGGTCCCATTTCAGAGTTATATAAATAGTCACCCATGTCCTTCTCTCGCAGTTTACCACCTTACCACCCTCACTCTTACACATGTTGTCAAGCAAGATTTCTCACCACTATACTTGTTACACACTTGTAAAATAACGGGTTCAGAGTGAGAGAAACCCCTAAATCTAAATTAGGCTGTTTGTTTTATTGTGTATCCTAAAGTTATATATTCAACCAGCTGAAAGTCCGATAATGTTTCAGCTGTGTGACTTCATGACTCATATTTATGATACACACATATCTGCGGGCATGTAGGAACACTGATATGTATATTTTCAGCTCGTACCGTCCGTGTATTCAGACGTTTTTTCCTGTTTTACCAAAAGAGTGCGACACTATCAACATTAACATTTCCGTTGGAGCGCAGAGGGGCATGATGGGATATGTAGTGCGTCCGTCAGCACTATAAATCTATGTGAACTTCCTTTAACGTCCTCTTTACTGCGCTAGCCTGAGCGAGACAGGTACGAACCATAGCAGCACTGCTACATTTCAACACAAACTCACTACATTAGGGCCTTTAAACTTCCAAAAAGACAGAGACAGTGAACGCAAACATAGTTTTATAGGCAATGTGTTTCTTGAATGTCCATTTAATGAATTTGTAACAAACCGTTGAAGTGAAAAGCTAATTCGGCTAAGCTAACGCTAGCTTGTCACATTGAACAACGTGGTGCGGTGCAGCTGCGGCCTAGTCGTATGGCTGCTAAATAGCTGGTTTCTAACGCTTTTATAGATAATTTATTGTTGTCATAGACACATTTAGTGAACTTTTTTTGGCGTAGCAGTTTTGTAAAGTAATTGTAATCCGCAAGCTTTACCCTAATGTCTTTCCTTAACGACAGTAAAGCATGACGTTAACATTACGGTGCAACTAAGGTTTACACAGCGACTTTGACTGTACAGATTGATAAAGAATTTACATTCCTCTGGTATTGTATGTTGTATTACAAATTGCGATTTCTGCACACGTATGTAAGATGAGTCAGCAGAGAAACCGACATAATATGGAGTGAAACAGACAGTCATATCCCTCAGACTTGTTACGATAAGGATATATTGATTAACATTGAAGCAGTATGCATTATACTATTAAACAATAGTTTTGCTGCAATTTCAGTCAAGTTCTCTGCATTCAGAGGGAATTGGACAAGCTAGTAGTGATGTTTGCACATGAGTAGAGAGCTTAGACAGTATACGGTTTACTGTTAATATTGTGGCGTTATTTTGTGTGGATCAGTTTCTCATGTACAAACAACAATGCCTTTAGGTCTTTGCAGTAGATCATTAGGGTCATGTGCGTACCTAAAAGAATATTAATCAAAACTGACCAGAGACTGAAATATTTAAATGTATAAATGCAAATAAAAGATGACGGGGTAAGTTAAGGGCAAGGGCTTTTTGTAAATCATTTTCATTTATAATGCTAAAGTTATGTTGCGTTTTAATTCATGAATGTTAGGGCTTTCAAAAATATATTTTTTTTTTAAAAACACACTAATCCTCGGTTTGAGTCTGTACGCAATGTCCTTTTTGAGAAAACAAATGATCAGTAATTTCTGTACCATCACAAAGTGCAAAATTATTTTTTAATCCCAAATAGCTGTACCAATTGACTGGATGTATATACTCAAATTTATGATTCTAAAATGTTTTTTCCTGAATACTTAATGTTATCAACCAGTTGTAAAAATAACTTTTTTATTCATCTGTACTGACTAACCTAATGTCTGATATCTGACGTTGCAGGCACTCATAAGCCGCCATGCCCGTTGCCAGGAGTTGGGTTTGTCGCAAGACATATGTCACCCCCCGCCGTCCCTTCGAGAAGTCCCGTCTCGACCAGGAGTTGAAACTCATTGGTAAGTTCTGATTTCATGAACGCCAGCGTAGTTATAAATTATACCCTATTTCCCTCTTTTTGAACTAGAAAGCACTGAACTTGACCTAACTGTCCCTCCTTCTTTCAAGGCGAGTATGGTCTGAGGAACAAGCGTGAGGTGTGGAGGGTCAAGTTCACCCTGGCCAAGATCCGTAAAGCTGCCAGAGAGCTGCTCACTCTTGACGAGAAGGACCCCAAGCGTCTGTTTGAAGGTATGCAAAATAAGATCAAATACAGGTTTGAGCAGTGTATTGGCCGATGATTTAACTATCAATTGTCAGACTCTTCTATGGTGTCAAGAATTCCTCGTCAATGAGGCCAATAAAGTGCTCTAAACAAATGGCTATATCCACTGTGCCTGGGATTATAAATGGCTCCTGTGTGGTTTTCCAGGTAACGCTTTGCTCAGGCGTCTGGTGAGGATTGGTGTACTGGACGAGGGTAAGATGAAGCTCGATTACATCCTGGGTCTGAAGGTTGAAGATTTCTTGGAGAGGAGGCTGCAGACACAGGTCTTCAAACTTGGACTTGCCAAGAGCATCCACCATGCCCGTGTCCTTATCTGCCAGAGGCACATTCGGTAAGCTCTAAGGCTCCTGGGGATCAAACATCAAATGATAAGGGGGTCACAAGTCTTAATGAGGGACTCATCAGAAACTCAATGCTTCCTCTTTCATCAGAGGACCATCAGCTTGTAACGCTCTCCGCTGAGATCAGTTAAACATTTCAGCAAGGTCAATTCGGTATCAAAACCGTATACCTTGTCAGTAGACATTGCCCAGAGCCAATCCTGCCACGGAGGGCTTGGACTGTGCCACTGTGGTGTTGTGGCTGTCAGGTAAGGTACGGGGGATTGCACCTCGGGCAATTATAGTATTCACTCTATACCGTGTGTGTTGTGGTGTACTTAACACTCAGGCTGATGATTTAACTCCTATATATTCAGATTCTCTGTGGTGTCAAGAATTCCTCGTCAATGAAGCCTGCAGTTAATTAATATCACTAGCCTATGCACATGAAGAAGTAATCCAGTTGGATAAAAATGGTTTGACACTTTGTCATCCAGTTAAATCTCTTTTAACTCTTCAAAATATGAAATGGACCAAATGTTTTCTAAAGTCCTACCTTGTTATGTCTTGGCAGTGTGCGCAAGCAGGTGGTGAACATCCCCTCCTTCGTGGTCCGCCTGGACAGCCAGAAACACATCGACTTCTCCCTGAGGTCACCATACGGTGGTGGACGCCCAGGCCGCGTCAAGAGAAAGAACGCCAAGAAGGGCCAGGGTGGAGCTGGAGGAGCTGACGATGAGGAGGAGGATTAAGAAGGATGTCGTCTGGAGAGTGTTGTTATGATGCTTCCTGTCCTGTAAAAAATTTCAATAAAATGTTTTGGTCTGACCAGAAAACTGAGCTGTTGGGTTTTTTCTTTTATTCCCCTAGAATATTATACTGTATATAATGTGTAATTGGCTCTCAAGTCTATGCTGTAATGACTGACTGATTATCATTATTATTCCAAGTTTGTATTGTAGTATATTTGTGGGCATGAAATGTTTTTAAAATATTTTTAATGACGTACCAGAGGTTATGAAGTGCAGAAGCTTTAAATTACTGCGGTGTTTTAGTGTCAGCGCCCATGTCAGAATGGTTGAATCGACACCCCTACGTTTAGAATGGTACGTGCCATGTGGGTGGGGTCATTCATAAACCAGGAAGTACATTTATACAGTGTTAGCGGTGTGAATGGGTAGTTTGTATGAGTGTGTCAGTGTGTAGGCTCTGTTAGAGTCCGGAGTGATTTTTACCTCGGTGATAAACACGTTGTAAATGTGAGTAATTTAAAGCTTATAAGTGATGCATGCTAATTTAACGGTCGCTCACAGCGGTTGCTAGCTAACGTTTGGATACCAGATGCTAACGTTTGCACAGCCGTCTTAACTTCCTACACACTGATAAATACAGACAGGACTAGAGTGGTTTAACCTCTACCTCTTGAATTCAGTCTGTCCTGTCTTTATATTTTATTATCATAATTTACAAAGCAGTCATTTAGTTATCCTTTGTCAGACTATGTTGCTGTTAGCTAACCTCATCGCTCCTGGAAGCAGAGGAATGCTAGCAGACGGGAGTCAGTCAGCTCTGAGCTGGTTGTAAGAGTCCTGAGGAAATTAAACTTTGTGTACTTGTACTGTATAGCTCATTACACCTACTGAAATATGAGAAAAGAAGCAGCGGTTTGCTCCAGTTCTCTCGTGGGCTCAAATAACGTTACAGTCCGAGATCTATGTCACAACTCAGCTACTTCCTATGTTAACTCATATATAAGTTCCTGTGTTGTTCCGTGTTGTGCACACATGGTGTCCCTCACACTTGATCTCTTTATTAACTTTTATTCAAGCCTTCAAATTTATTCATAAGGTGCTCTTTCATAACTCTTAACCAAAACTGCTTAAAGGGGAACCACGCCCATTTTCTTAATCCCTACATGTTGCTCCTATGGGCTAAAACAGTCCAGAATATTAGTACAAATGAACAGCTCTCCCAAATGTAAAAGCCAGAGTGCTAAACTCAAACTTGCGATGCCATAGGCTGTAAAGTCTGAAGCTGCTCCACTGACAGTGAATTGGGAAAGATGTTATAGATGACAATGAGAGCACCCAGGGTAATCTTCTGAGTATATGAGCATATTTTCTGTCTCATCGCTGAGGACAATACAGCAGAAAAAGCAAATTTGTGTATACAAAAGAAAAACATTTGTGGGTCCAAAAAAATCAAGCTCCCATCCATTGTCTATAGAGCAGCTCCAGACTTTACACCCTATGAAATCACAAGTTTGAGACTTTCCTCATTGGTTTCTGGCTTTGAGAGAGGGTATCTCATGTTCGCAGATATTGATTTAACTTTCTTGGGTCATGGAAATAATATATTGGAATTCTCAATTTAGGTAGTGTTCCCCTTTAAAAAAGAAAAAAGTGTGCTTCAGGTGGAGGACATATTGTGAAATACACCTTGAAGATGTCATAACTATCACTACTTCTGGGCAAACTGCCAAGACA